CCCCAAAACCCCAAAACCCCAAAACCCCTTGATTCAAAACTTTCTGATGATTCATGAAATTAATTATACATTTATCATCTATCAAGTAGTTTATTTATTTGCAATCAACTTATCAATTAAACTTAGAATGCAAATCGACCATAGAGGTAAACATTTTCTTTAGATATCTTTGAACTAGATACCTTAGATCTCCTAATACTAAGAGAATTACCACTTCATGCAAGAATTAAGATATTCTTGCAAGCTTTTTCAAAAGGGCCTGTGTCTCCTGAATTTATTGATTATTTAAAGTCTATGGTTTGGCCTCCAATTGAGATTCGATATCAATTATCCATGCCTCAATAAAATAAGCTTCTTTAAATAACTCTTGAAGTGCCTTTGCATAGAGATCAACAGAAGTGCCATAAATGTTAAATGCTATTTTCTAAGCTCCCTTAGTCACTTTATCAGTAAACTACTTGAAATGTTTTGATATTTTGTTCCATGTTGATTCATCTTTCAATGATTAAAGCATGGCTTCATCAGCTCCTCCTCCCATTTTCTAAACTTCATTAAATTCTTGTGCAAGAGTTTCCTAAAGAAGCATTACTTAAGACATTAGTCTATCAACTTCCTATAGATTATTAGTATATTTTAAAAGACGCTTACACTCTTATCCTTAGACAAGCAATTTTTGCTATAGAGAATATTTACTCTTTAGAATTCTTTTTTTAGATAATCAAAATAATTCAACTTTTTATCTATCTCTGGAATTTTGGCTTCCTTTTAATACCAGATATATTTAGGCACATATAATGACTCTGTCAAGAATCCCCCTTCCATAATAGTCTTCTCTATCCTTCTCATAAAGAAAAATGGTCTTAGTTTTTTGTTAGAAGGTATGGTTGAAGCTGAAATTTAATCGTCAGGAGAATTATTCTGTGGGGGTTGTTATTGAATCGGATCATATTTCAAATCAAGATCTTAGAAGTCTTTCTCATATAAATTTTCATTTATCACTACGAACTGCTCATCTAAATCTATCTAATTAGACCCTGAATTCTAGGCTAGTTCTTGTATTTTCTGCTAAAGTGACTCAGCTTTTTCCTCATAATTTTTTAGAAAAATTTGAAAAACTCCTTTTTTATCAGCAGGGGCTTTCTCCACTTAACTCTTAAACAACTTAATAGCTTCTTAATAGCATTTTAAACAGTCTTCAAGCCTATCTACACACAGTTATTTATTTAATTATAGTACTATCTCTTTCATGCTTTATGGCTCTTTGAGCTTCTTAAAGCCCTTTAGTAATCATAGTTTCATCATATTTACTCGACTCTACCATTTTTTAAATATTTTAGTTTATTATTACTGTGACTGATCATTTTATTGATTTTTATAAATTTCGTTAAAGCAATTAAGTATATTTCAATCAATAAAAATTCCATCAAATAACATCAAACAGAAGATCATTCTCAAGTTTCTTTGTATCGACAATTTCTATTTTACTTGGCAGTGACTCTGATTAATCTTACTAGCTTAAAGTTGGTTTTAAACTCAGAATTACGAAAAGTTTTCTTAGCTTGCCCTCAAAATAAGATCTAGCGGATTAATTATCTACTTAAATTGGAAGTCCAAGTTCTAATTTATATAAATGTGGCACTCTGATTGCTACAACCTCATTAGACACTCTAACCTAAAGTACCTTGGCATGCTTAAGGATCGGTAGTGAAATTACAAAAACTAACTTCTGAGCAAGTTCATGATTTGTCCCATCAAATTCTTCTACTAAATCTACTTCCTCTGGCAGCCTAAATGTTTAAGCTAGGGTATTGAATCGATCTTAGCTATCACCTACTCCACTCTCATCTGATTTCCTAACCAATTCATTTACCATATTATTCCAAAAATCTTCCTAATCAAACCTCTCTAGGTATTCCTACTTCTATTCATTTTCTTGTTTCAAAATACAATATAACTACCATTCTGGAGTCTTTTCTACTACCTCTTATACTTTATTTTTCACTTATTCAAGTCCCTTAGCCTCTAGGTTCTTTCTTTCCTCCTCAGACATTTCCATCTCCTGAATCTTAGGTGCCTTTTTAGCTCTCACTCTCTAATATTGAATAGTCTTTCCTTTATATTTCATTTTTGGTAAAGTAAATCTCAAGTCCAATTCCACATTAAATTTCTGTGCATAGTAGTTAAAAGCTAACTCAACAACAATCTGTCTAAATTAGGCATCTATTTTACATCTCTCAATAGTTTTAGGGTTCCAAATAACATCGCATACCTAGGCAGCCTCTCCCTTCTTATCAAAGTCTTCTCTTAATTAACCCATTGACAGAGGAATACGGATGCCACTCTCTGAATCTCCAAACTTTTCTCTATCACCTTCAGGAATTGGTTTTTCCTCAAAAGGGTCTACTAAATCATGAGTGGTCATATTAATGAAAACTTTCTGTCCATTTTTATCTTTTGTTTTTACTACGAATCCAGGTTATGGCTAGATCATAGCACCACCTTCTGCATCTATAATTGGATTTCCATTTGCATCAACAAAACTTTCAAATTGATTCTATAGATCAGGTGGAACCTAGCCGCTCATTAACTATTAGTACAATTTCATAATATCTTCATGAGAATATCCTGCAAGATCCGGGGCTCCAGCTGTAGGCATATTACTTTATTAAGGTCCAAGATTAAATGGCATTTGAGGCATTGATCCATTTCCATTCCCCATCTACGCTAGTCTCTATAATTCAGCTAGTTCTCTTTAAAACTCGTCCATATTTTAAATTTTAAAAATAAATTCCAGAATTTTCTAAATCTATTATGTGCGGGGTTTTGGGGTTTTGGGGTTTTGGGG